GGGTTTTTACGACATCACCGTGGTGAATTTGTGACTTTGATTGGGAAATACAGCAGAATACATGTGCAGGATAAGAGCAGCATATAATGAGTGTGCAGGTAAACAGTCATACCTGGAAATGCGCTTTTAGTACATTTCCGAGAGAGACGTTTTTGAAACCGACATTCTGCCGAATATCATCGTAATTTGGAATATTGATGCCAACCGGCAATCCAGAGACACCAAATGACATAATGTCCAAGCTCGTAAAGTCAGGCTCTAAAAACACATCTTTCTCATAACTGGAAGGCCAAGGTAAGAGGGACAGAAATGACGCGGCGCTATTAACGAGATTTTGAAATTTAGCTGACACATCCTTGTCGACAACAGCAACGAAGGTTTCAAACTCTGCCCGAACGCCATACGGATCCCGGTAACTTTCAATGAAACGAATATAGCTTTCTACCGCCGGTTGTTTGTCGGCTACCCAGTACCTTGATCCAGCTTTGTGTGCTTCAATGGAACCAGTTTGAAAACTTTGCTGATATTCACTCCACATTTTCTTTTGGTCCTCGTTAAGAGTAGCTGCTTTAACCGCAGTAATGCCAGACACAATTAATTACATAAGCTCATGATAGTCACCGTACTTTGAGGGTCGAGGATTGTGGTAAGCCGGAGTTTTCGATGTCCTCCTCTTTGCACTCAGCAGACGCAACAAGGAGCACGTAATTTTCTCTACCCCTGGCGTCCTTTTTAAAACTTTTCACCAAGCGAGTGTTGTAAGCTTCCATTTTTCTTGAATTAAGGAAAGACTGGACAAGTTCAGCATCTGCCCGAGTGCAGTTTGCTGAATAGTATGTTGTCATGCCTTCTGGAGGAAATGACAAACGCAAACGACCAGGATGAGCTGAATAGATACTGTCAATCACACGCTCGAAAATTTCTCTGACTGTTTCAGAGGACTTGTAAGCATCTGTCAATTTGATTATGTTGGTAAAAACTTCACGAGTGACAGCAGGAATGAATTTCGTGTCACCGAAGGACAAGTAATTTCCCAAATTGCCGTAAATCGACGCGAAGTAAGCAATGAAGGCGTCGACATCTTCAGTCCGAATACCATTGGATTTGGCTAAATCACAAATCTCTGAAACAGTCTGTCGTTGGAAAAGGTGCTGGGATTGGAGCATTGATCGATCTATATATTTCATGTTTCATCAATAGAGGGTAGGGAACGGATCCGTGTAAACCCCTTCT